TGCCATTTGTGTTTTTTTTATTGGATTTTTTTGCATATTTGCTATATTCTATGAAGTGATTTTAAGTGCTCCTGGCCATTTTTCAATTATTAAAGTGCCTATTTAGATACATTTAAAATGAATTAATTAGTGTATAGTATTTGTATTATGAGTTTGTTTATTTTTTATGAGATGTATTTTTTCCCATTAAAATAAACATAGCTTACTAGATCACTAGCTAGTCATTTTTAAATACAGGGTGTTAATTAAGTATCTGGCCAAACTTCAGGAGGTGATTCTTTGAATGTTTTAAGGTAAAAAGTTCATATAAACATGTGTCCGGAAATGTATAATTTTAAAGATACAGGGTGTCAAGGTGTTTTCTAATAGACGTTTTTTATTAATATCCCAAAGATCCGTTGGCCGATTTTGTTGAAATTTCAATGTTGTGAACGTTGTAAATAATAATTATCACATTTAATAAGTTAGCACTAATTAAATGTGATAATTATTATTTACAACAATATTCAAAGGATAAAGTCTTATCCCAATAAATATTTAGCAACGCCTTGGATTCATGTGTTTTTACGCCTATTGGCGGTGGAAACCATGCAAGCTTTTTCTTTGACCTAAGTTGTTAATTAAAAAAATAATAATCATAAAAAATATAGGTCCTAATAGCCTAAATTTTAGCAAAAAGCATCAGCAGATCCGATGAGATCCGAGTTATTATGTTTTGGAATTTAATGATTTAATTAATTATTCCCTTTAATGCATTTACCTATCCTAAGCACCAAGAAAAAATATTGCATTAGTCTAAATTTATTATTTATGTGATTCCACTCGTTCACGTATAATTTGCCCCTTGCTTCTCATACGGAAACTGTGCCTAACAACCCATATGCCTTGACGCATATTCTTTTTTATAATAATATGGGCTTTCTTTATCCGCCGGCCCAGACAAACATCCGTATCCATAAAATAGTTGGCACACACACACACTGATAAATTAATAAGACCTCATTTCGGCCCTCCAACGTCCTTCGATGATCAACGCCGGCTAAACTATCGCCTTACGTGTTGACAAGTTGATTAGACAGGTTATTGAACTCGTGTAGCATCGAGCATGTCGTTTTTTCAAAGATGGGTCCCATATAAACGCGGCCAGAAGTATTTTCAATACTAATATTATTTTTATAATAACTTTTGTTGAGTTGATTTCGATTTTAACGTCGCAACAATTCACTAAGGTAATTGATGGACAAACTTTATTTCCAGTGGTTTTTTGAATTTTATTCTTATTTCTACTCGTTGAGGCCTCGGGTTCTTGTTCTTCACAGAATAATATTACCTCTAATAATGAGACTATAAACAAATATTATTTTTATTGTTTTAATAACTTTTGTTGAGTGGATTTTCATTTTAATGTCGCAGTTTCAAGAATTCACTAAGGTAATTGATAGACAAACTTCATTTCTAGTAGTTTTTTGAATTTTATTCTCGTTTCTGCTCGTTCTCGGGTTTCGGGTTCTTGTTCTTCACTTAAAACTCTTTTCCGGAATGTTGCTGCGAGGTGTCCAATGCTGGGTACTTCCTTTACCTTCCAGGATTTGACAAATTTTTACAAAAATTTACTAATTTTTCTCTTTAGTTAAACTTGTCATTAATAATGTCAAGGTGTTTTTTGCACTAGTGCAAAAAGTAAAAAAAATGACTTTTAATACAGTAGATAGTGTAAAAAATAACAAATTTTTGATAGTAGAAAAAATATTTTTTATAAACTTTTTTGTACACCCTATAACTTGTAAAACCGTATTTACTATTTGTACCCGCCAACTAGTAAAAATCAGACAAATGTGGTTTATTTTCAATATTAAAACAAACGTTATTCAAAAACAACGATTTTTGGTATAGAAAATGCCTTACACAACAAAAATTTGTATAAGAGCAGTGTTGAATTATGATATAAAATACAGGCCGTTTCATACTCACTGCGTATCAAGGGATACAGTATGATCAAAATGTTTTGTGATCAAACATACTTTATACATATGATGACAATTAAACTCTTCTTACGGTACGGTAGCACTGCTATTACGTCTTATTAGCGGATAAAGATTTGCATATGGCAAATACCAAACGCTTAATTGTATAAACAAATGAGCTTATGTGAACTATTCCGCAAGGTTACGGTTACTATGCACTTTCGCCTTTGGTTAGAAGAAATAACGTTACTCTAAGAAATTGTTTTAACTATACAATATGGACTAATTAAAATCTTTCTCTTTCTTGTCGTATTTTATTATGTAATTAATTGTCACACACATGCTAATAGATAATGTAGTAATTACAGATAGTGTAGTAGTTTCTGAATATTCTGTTGGTTCCTTTCAGAAGTGAACTGGATCAAGTCCATAAAATTAAATGATGTGCGTGATTTTAACACACGTGCTAAAGGTCAGAGCTAAAAAATGTGTTTTTTTTTTATAAAACGGATGACAATGAAACAATGTCTGAACCATTTGCACCAAGTGAATCAGATTATCAGCCATCTGAAAAGTCTGACTCTATCTATTCTGAAAGTATAGTTTGATTTATCATTATTTTCACTATTACTACATCAATAAGTAACGCTATTTTTTTTACAAATACTTAGATATCTGACATGTTGTTGATCTGAATAAAACTGCACGAGGAAGAAAAATCTTATCATTTCATATAGACGTAACGTAATAACACACACTAAAATACAACACATGAAAGATGGTCTTCCCTTTATCCCGCCTATGCACCATAATTTTTATAAAAATTGGAGAAAACACTATTAATAGACAATGTAAAGTCAACAAATCCCTTAATGACGAAGAAGAATTTACCGATGAACCAATTTATATCTAAAATTTCAAATATTTTCAGAGACAAAATGGTTCAAGTCCAAAAAAGTATACAAAGTTAACAAACATTCTTAAAAATGACCACAGTTGTATTTTAAGTTACTTTAGTTTGTAAGTATACAATTTGAAATATAATAAAGCATTGTGTCAAGTTTTCTTCTCCAGCTTGTTTATATTTAAGTAACATTAAAAAACTTTAACTCTCATTTTCTCCATAATTATCTTCTAGGACTTGATCCAGTTTTTTTTTCGAACCCCTCAATTGTGACATTTTGTCTTTTTTTATGAAAACCAATATCTTTAACTCCATCTTTTTGAAGTGAAACTGCGCGATGAGAGTAAAAATTCAAGGACGTGACATGATACGGCCTTATAACACACTTCACTTCGTGAAGAGCTAGTGAGAAAAAAGTCAATGAGGAATTTGAGATGGCTCTTTGGAGCGTCGTAACTCGGGCCCTATGTCAGCTCAGAGACTGAAACTTAAAATGGAGTGTAATCTTTTCATGATATTTTGACAGTTAGTTTTGACGTAAGAAACGTCAAAAGTTGATGTGGCCCGTAAAATTCTTTTTTGATGGATTCTTTAACGTTGTCTGTTCGCTTAAAGCTCTCCCCAGATTATAAAATTGTAAATTCACTCTAAATTTTGCTAATTACTGTGTTACTTTTTTATGACTAAATTAACTATACCAACTAACCTAACGCACAAATTTGACTTTACCCTTTTAGTTCCTGAAATACAGGAATATTTGAAAATTTTGCATTTTGCGACTCCCCTCGTATCTCAGTTATCCTATACCTTATTGAAAAGTGAAAGCTGAGTTAGGTTAGGTTAGGTTAGGTAAAGTTTTCATGTAGAAGTCAGTGGCGTAACCAGCTTTCGCTGAAAGCTGTAGTGTTCGAAATATGGCTCATACTTATGTTTTTTTTAGATGGTACACCCTGTATATTATTTTATTATATTATTTGTCTTATTATGATACTACTAAAAATATACTATGGTCTATACTCATTTTCAAAAATAAAGTAAAAAAAATGTATTAGATACAATGCATTAGATACCATGCAACTTTTTAGCGTAAATCAACCTAGTTTAAAAGAGTATTATTTTTTATTTTAATATTTTTTATTTAACAAAATAATTTTGCTTTCCGTCGTTTTTTCTTAAAAAAATCACCGAAAATGAACTTGTGCAGCTTTTAGCTAATACCCTTGTTAATACCCTATCTATCAGAGTTATTGATATTTTTGATGCACACGTGCAACAATTCTACACACAGGAATAACCAATAACCAAAATTTGACGCCGAATAAATGATTTGATTGTTTTGATTGCCTTATTTAAACCGGCCGCTTATATGCTAAAACGTCGAATAAAGCATTTTTTACCTTCTTTATAAAAATAAGTATAGAGTATACTATTTTAAGAAAGCTCGTAACAAGACAAATAAAATAAAACAATAATATACAAAGTATTCTATTTAAAAAACAAATTTGCGTCATTTTTCGAGAGTGACAGCTCCCAGCCAAAATCTAGTTACGCCACTGAGTTCTAAGTGAAAAACTAGTAATTGCAAGATTTTCAAATTCGCCCTGTATTTCAGAAACCAAGGGGGTTAGGACAAATCTGTGTGTAGCATCTTTAGTTTTATAAAAAAGTAACAAGGTAATGTACAAACCTCATCTTTGTAGCTCTACTCATAAACGAGTAAGCCTGTAAAACACATGAAAATTGAACACCCTCTCTATATTATTATATTCTTACATAAATTTTTACATCATACCTAAATCGACCTAGGGCTTAGTAATTAGCTTAATTAAATTCAATTAAATAATTTCTAAAATTGATCATGGTAGACAACTTCATTTTGGCCTTTGATTATCTTCCGTCAAGAGAAATTGTGGTTAGAAATCAAAAGTTGATTGTTTTAAAAGCTAAAAGCTAAATATAAGGCTTTCTCTATGGATACAACTGACTAACGCAAGCTGTTGCTAGGATTTTCTATTAATGTTAATTGTATTTTTTAAATATTGTGAATGATCGCAAACAAAAAATTATAAAGTGTAACTGAAACCTAACTACCTAATTGCGAGGTTCTGAATGAAGCTTTAATAAAACTCCGCTTTGATTTATATTATCTTTATTATTTTACATTCCTTATTTTTTAGATGATATATCATCACTCAGTCTCACGAAATCACCACAATGTTTACAAATAACACAAATAAATAAACACCGAATGATTACACGACATATACAGCTGTATAAAACAAATTTACAATTACATTACTAAATCCTCCTAGATAACAACATTAATTTAAGCTTTTTGGAAGGTATAACTGAATCCATCGGGAGACCTGTTGAGGGAAAGCTTTCCTGGTGGGTAGAACCTGTGAGGAGCTGGAGTGGTGGTATAAGGATCGGGCCTGTATTGTGGCTGGGCCTGTGGCTGATATTGAGGCTGAGGTGGTTGATATTGGGGCTGAGGCTGGTATTGTGGCTGAGGACGAGGTTGTGGTGGTGGGTTGTATTGAGGTTGGGGCTGGTATTGAGGCTGAGGTGGCTGATATTGAGGCTGAGCCTGAGGTTGATATTGTTGTCTGGGAGCTTGATAGTCTGGGGGATTGTATTGTGGGAGAGGAGTGTATTGAGGTTGTGGCGCTACTGGGAGGGTGGTTGGAAGAGGTTGAGGAATTCCGTCTCCGGAGGCTTGGAATCCGTGTTTACCAGCGGTGTAGCTTACTGTATGTCTGAAAAGAAGAAATACTACATTAATATTTGTCGATCAAAAAATAACAGGTAAGGTATTCTTTATTCAGCAATCGTCCAACGTCACAACCAGATAAAAGAGATTGTGACCTCATTACGACATTTCGTACATTACTGCACATTCTAGCAATTGTCATTTGATTTAAGGTTATAATTTTCTTGACGGTTATTGACCAATGTCAAAATTATAAATTGATCGCATTATTAATCAAAATTATTTTTTTATAACTCAAATGCCTTGCTTAATTGGCGATATTGAAGATGCGGAACATCGCAAAGCTTATTCATTAATTTATGCGAAAAAGAGACGCTGATTAAGCACTCTTGGATATCGTATATTAAGTAATAATATTCTTTTGTCAAGCTAAGTTGTAACTGTCTTCTGAAGTAACAGGAGAACCCTTATAAGAGTCGTGGAACTCGATTCTCATGTCTAAGTGCTAGTGCTCTAATATAATTAATTTATAAAATTAAGTATTATATTTCCTAAAATATATATAAAAATAATGTATATTTAGTTTAGCTGAAATTAGTTATGTTGGAAATATTTGTTTATTTAGTATTTAATTATTTATGTAGTATGTTATTTATGTAGTATTTAATTAATGTTTATATAGTGTTTGGAAGCCTTTCCAAGTAGAAAATCACGAAAATTTTTCTGCGAAAATGCATAATTTTCAGGTTTTCAACTTTAGAATAGCTGAAAACCTGAAAGTACTTGAAAACAAAAGTAACATGAAAACACGCTCGAAAACACGTTTCTGTTTTTCATTCTAGACATTTTTCTAAATATAAACAAGCAAAAACTTCTTGTAGAAATGTACCATTTTCATTTATTAATGAAATATTGAAAAATATAGCAACATTTGAAAAGTACTCCGCAATTGGAATTCGTAAAGAGGTGCGTTTTAGCTTACAACCTGTTTTGATTGCTTTGGTTTGGTTTGTTGGTTCGTTTTTCTTTATTTTAGTTTGTTGATGCCTAAATTACAATATCTACTAAGTTAAGTTCATACCTACACAAAAAAAGTGTTTACAATGTAGAGCAGGAACATGTTTTCATGTAACTGATTTCAGTTATTCTAAAGCCGAAAAAAAAGAGAATGGTGCATTTTCGCCAAACAATATACTGGAGGTTTTATTGTTTTTTATAAGTGATTTCAAATAAAAAAAACTTCACACAAAATCTTTGCGGATCTGTCGCAAAATATACTGTGTTATTAATATTTTTAAAGTTAACAGTCCTGAGGCAATTTAAAGAAATATAATTTTGTAACTGTGTAAATTAAATAAAACCAACGAAGAAGTCACCGCTCAATAGTCGAAGTCACATGCACAAATTTTCGCTTACAGAAACTACATTGAAGCAGTTTTATATTATTACATTTCTTGTAAGTTTATCAAAAATAGGTTTTGGGGGCAACCTAAACGGGACAGTATCAAAGATTCAAAGAGTATATTGTAGTTACATAACATCTGTAATTTTTTGTCTAATATTCCTAAGTTTATTTTTAAAGTGAGTACGATTTAGCTGGAAAGAACTGGCATATGCGCTAAAAACTATGAAATAAAGTACAATTAAAATTAATAAAAATCTAGCTTAAAAATAAGATATATCTTCTTATAAACTTGTCAAAAACGGAACTTGCTCAGTTAGTAATTTAGGAATGTATAACTTTTTTTTAAACAATATATACTAATCTCTACTACTACTACTGTCATTACTCGATGACGAGTATTTGACACGCATCAAGATGGTTACGCAAGTCGTTTTCTTCCATGAGCTTTTCTGTGACTGAAAAGTCCAATACGTTATGTTATCTCTCTTCCGCACTCTGGACATTTAAAAATCTCATTACTTTGTTGTCTCTTTACTTTTTGGTTGTCGATTTACAATTCTTCTGCATTACGTACTATTGTGCGCTGCTTCTTCCCACTGTTTTTGCATGCCTATCCCTTTTAAGTTTTCGTAGAAAATATCTACTAAGTATACTACCTGCATCTTTTGAGTTATTCACCCAGTTTCCTCTTACTGTATACAAGCTCACCGTAAAAGAGAGATTTTTGTAGGCGTTTTTTTTTTGTATCCTGCATACATGCCCAGCCCATCTTAAGCGGGTTTTGTAATCATGACTTTAGCGCTCTCGCAGCTAGCTTTTTCAAGTACCGATACATTTGAGACATGGTGGAACCATTTGATTTTTAAGAGTTGCCTAAGGTGTTTCTTGTTGCAACCTATTAATGTGTTCATGTGCCGGTGTAACATGGTAAGAATTATTATTGCTCGGTACACTGCAAGTTTCGTTTTTGTGGTTAAGTCATGATTGCAGAAAACCCTGTCTTTTAATTTCTAAAATGTTCTCGAGACGCTGCTAATCCTGTGCGGAATTGCAGAGTCGATATTGTACTGATCTCAGACACACATTAAAAGGCATATTTAACAATCTTTAAGAATAGTATTTATTTAAATTATCTAAAAGAACATTTTATACTGATTCTCAAAATAATATCGATCCAATGTAACCGCAGTTTTATGACCAAATTGTTACTTTGATGATGTTAAAATTGAAGGAAAATGAAAAACTTCAGTGGTTATTACCTTTGACCATTGGGATCAACGTAAGAGTAAGAACCTCTACGAGTACCATCAGGTTCACTTTCTTCTTTAAAGTCGACACCGTCTTCTTGACTGTATTGGGCACCGAATCTACCATCACCTCCAAGGTACCTTTGTTCGGCCAAGATGGCTGCTGTTTTTGGATCGCGGTACTTTTGGCCTAGGGAAAGGGCCAGAACAGCCGAAAGAATTACCTGCAAAAATAACACAATTATTATTTGAAATATCAACTTTTTAATATAGTATAGTTAAATTATGAATAAAATCTCGTACAGGGTGTCCCATTTTAGATAAAATCACACGGTAACCCCGTTATTAGTAAAGATAGGGGAATGCGGTTTGCAGACTCCTACTTTTTTGTCAAACGGAAGATGCTGTAAACAAAATTTTCAGGTATTTCAAGTAAAATTATCGAATAGTTCTCTTCGTTTCTGAGCTACAGGGTATTTTTAAAAACTTTGCAATTAGGGACACTTCGAGTATCTCTGTTATTGTGAAGGTGAAAACTATTTCTTGTAGAACTTTTTACGTAAAGTAGTTTTTCTATGAAAATAATATTTTTGGGGATATGAACTAAAGCTATGTTTTTTTTTCAAATATAATACCCTATATATTCAGAAAACATATGATTTGACTCGCGCTATAAGCTTCTCGAAAATATATAACACTCATTTTTTTTCACAATTCACACCCATTTCAACTTTTAGAGGATATTGGATATTCCTTTAGCTAATTTACGTAAAATATACTTTCAGCAAGATGGAGCTTCCGCTTACAAACTTGAAAATATTATAAATTTTTTAACGACTATTTTCCATGTAAATAGATTGGGACCAATGGATCTATACGATAACCTTCGATATTTCCGGATTTGTCTGTACTCGATTTTTGTGCTTAGAAATTTTTGTAAAATCAAACATATCGTGGCAACTATATCAATGTAGAAGACAATGTGGAAAATGCCATCAAGCAAGGTTTTAGGTTTTAGATATTTGCAAATCCATCCTGTTATAGTCCTCATCATTTTAAGAAGAATCAGGACAATTTGCCAACAATACAGGGTGCTACAAATTCGAGGTACGAGCATTGGTATCTCGGAAACCGTAATGGATACGAAGATGGTTAAATTGGGGCAAAGTTGCTCCTTGGCATGTTCACCAAGATGCCATCAAAAAAGTTTTAAAATTTTCAAGGATTGCTGAGTTTTTTGGAAAAAACGGATTTTTTTGAAAATCAATTTTATTTTTTCCTGTCGTTACGTTTTAGAAAATCAAAAAACTAATTGCACATTCTCATAACCACTTTATTAGGGCTATCTGATACTATTTTTATATTTTCAAATTATCTGATAATATGTGAGATACAGAGGCCAACCTAATTTTTTTAAATACGGACCTGCATTTTTTATTTCAAGTTTTGAAAGACTTCGGTTTCCTGAGTACAATGATATGCCACACTTGATACTTTTTTTTTTGTTTTGGAGATCTTAACAATAAAATACTATTTAGTTGTTATTTAAAATAATTTCAAGTCCGACTCTGGTTTTTTAATTTATTTAATCTGATTATATTCAGCACAACAATATTGATCAGTGATAATTAACATTGAATAAGGAAAATCACGTCAATTGTAAGATTCAAATAATTAATATCCAGGTCAGCAATTTAAAGATTATTATTTTTGACTTTTTTTATTCTGATTTTGAAATCCCAGTGTACGATCTAATAATATGCATAATATTAATCCTAGTTATTATAAATAAATCAACTTCTACAAACTAGTTTCTAATGCTCTGCATGTTCGAAAGGGTTACCGCCCTCCCTAATGCACAAATTTGTTTTTCGTTCCATCTTATATATAGCTCTTTGAACAGATCTTCTTATACTTCCGAATGCATTTTGTACTCTTTAATTGTTTTTTATTACTCGTTAATTGTTTTTGTACTCATAATGTTGAAATGTATTGATTTCAAATGTCCAAAACAATTTTTATTAATTTTCTTTATTCAATGTTAATTGCTGATGCGCTGATCAATATTGTTGTGCTGAATATAATCAGATTATATAAATTAAAAAAGCAGAGTCGGATATGAAATTATTTTAAATAACAATTAAATAGTTTTTTATTGTTTTACCCAAAAAAGAAGTATCAAGTGTGGCATATCATTGTACTCAGGAGACCGAGGTCTTTCAAAACCTAAAATAAAAAATGCAGGTCCGTATTTAAAAAAATTAAGTTGACCTCTGTATCTCACAAATTGTCAGCTAATTTGAAAATTTAAAAATACTATCACATAGCCCTAATAAAGTGGCTATGAGAATGTGCAATTAGTTTTTTGATTTTCTCAAAAGTAACGACAGCAAAAAATAAAAATGATTTTCAAAAAAATCCGTTTTTTCCAAAAAACTCAGCAATCCTTGAAATTTTTTAAACTTTTTTGATGGCATCTTGGTGAACATGCCAAGGAGCAACTTTGCCCCAATTTAACCATCTTCGTATCTATTACGATTTCCGAGATACCAATGCTCGTACCTCGAATTTGTAGCACCCTGTATACCGATGTTTCTCAACCTCTATAACTTTTTCATTTTTTTAGATAAGAGATTTGGTACGTTAGTATATGACATAAATCAGGATTAATTGACGTACCTATTCAATTGTTTCCTGTTTCACCGGAAATTACTACAACTTTTGATTTTTAAATGTCACCCTCGGAAGAGAATGACGTATCATATGTACCAACTTTTGTTGGTTTTTGCCAAAATTCCAGCAAAACCCCACAAGTCAAACAAATTCACGCCCTTCCTAACTTAAAAATAAGAAAAAAATCTCAAAAGCTCACACAAAAAAACGACAATTTAAATTTAAATTGGAGCAAGATATACGTTTTTTTTAGTTTTTCCAAATTTTGAAATATCTGACTAATGGGGTTTTTACCAGAAACCCCTCAAATAGACTCTAGATTATATATTTTTGAGATGCTCATAGTAAGCTGGATTATATAATATATGAAAATACAGGGTGTTCGATTTCATTCTGGTTTGTGCAAACCGCATTCTATCTTCACTAATAACGGATTTACCGTATGATTTCAACCAAAATACCCTGTACATTTGATACTATTTTTGGAGATCAAATGTGTTTTTAAAGATCGCAAAGGTCTTTTTCTTAAAAATTAACTATAAATAAACCTCTGTGGATAGTTCATTATTTATTGCGATTTAAGGAGAGTTGCGTTGAGATATTGACAATCATTCTATATTTGGCAAGCTGGACAAATCAAAATTTCAATTCTCAAGCAAGATTGATTGTTGGTCTCAGGGTAGATTATTGTATACTTTAGTTATTGATTAGTCTTATTTTCCAAGATTTATAAGTTAACAGCACAGTATCTTTTTCGTTAGTACGTCACTGGTTAATAGAACAAAAATGCAAATTAAATATGGCCAACTAGATAATTACAGAATAACAAGAACCACCCACCTTTGCAGTTATACATTCCTTGAATATATCACATTGACATCTGATCTTGAAAGAAATTTATAATTACTGAAATTATCGCAGAAAATTATAGGAAGTAGAACATTACCAACCGACTTAATTCAAAAAAGAGTTTGTATAAAATCTGTCTGAACAATCATGAAAATTTCAATGACATTTTCTTTTAATTTCATTGCTGTTACACAAACGAGAACATGTTGGCGACCTTGAATCTGAAATAAATTAATAAAGGTCTACATTCAAGTTTTTTTTAATATTAAAGATAAATGTTAGCACAATTGCTTTATGGTTTTTTATCTTATTACTTACGCACCCAGCGATTACATATTTTAGACTTGAATAAATTATTTAAAATAGCAGACAATTTACAGCTATATTTATAAGTTATTTTGTTATGAAACATTTTAAAAAATCATATAATCGCATTAAATAAATTAAATAATCGTTTATTTCTTTGGTGTTCTAAAAATCATTCAAAATTTAATAAAACCAATTTTTCAAATAAAATTTGTGTGCTTAGATTTATAAGATTATATTGATCATCAGAATTAACTACTATAATACAGGGAATGATGATAAAGAAAATAAAAGAGACTAATAAAAAAAATCTACTATAAAAACTATATAGGGGCCATCCATAAATTACGTCACACGAATTTTAGGACTTTTGAACCTCTCTCCCGTCCTTGTAACAGGTTGTCACATTTTTAGACCCCCCCCCCCCTCTGATGTGACGTCACACATTTTCAAATTAATGCATGTGTTAAGCGAGAGTGCTAAATTATTAAAAACTAATAAACTGGTTGAAGCCTGGCGCATCCGCCACGACATCAGGTTGGTTGCGCCTCTGCATATACAGGATATTTCAAAAAACATGTGCCATCTCTGGTGGGGAGATTCCTCACATAAAAATAAGGTTTATTTTTCATCACCACATAGCACAGTGCTTCGTCCCATGGACAAAAATCGAAAAAAAAGTTAAAATTTACTAATATCCGAATATGTAATTTTGTACTTATAGCAATGTTGAACCATCCTGTAGATTATTTTTCATAAACAGCGTTTTTTTGTTAGCAAATATTTTCACTAAAAATAAATTTTGCAATCATTATCTTATATCAATGAAAAAAATAACATTCATAGTAGTTCTGTATATGGAGTTAAACGTAAACGAGTTAGTACGTACTTAATTGAAAGCCACTATGGATATTGTTAAACAAGGTATGTACTTTAAATTTATTTCTAAACAAGTTCGCTATTGTTTGGTTTTTATTTATTTTTTTAAGATGATTCTTAAATGGGTATAAAAATTTTACGTTTTCAAACTTCAAAAAGTCATTAAAAAAAACATATCAAAACATATCGTATTTATTGAATATTTTTGTTGTCATATTCATACACTTTGAATTTTTGTATAGTTCACCTGCGTCTGCTTGCGACGAACTTTATTTTATAATACTTTTCAGATGGAGTAAAATTGATAAGCAATGCCGATCTGGTTAATACTTGGCTTGATCATAAGGACAAGAACTCAAAATTATTTGTATTTCAAAAAATGTGTTCTTTATTAGATATTGATGAACATTCCAGTCAAATGAGACCATATGTGCCTGAAAAAGCCCACTATTTTGGAGCGAAACGTCGCATAAAAAAGTTTCCATCTTTCAATTTATTATAAAACCTCATACCCAAAAAAACGAAAAAATAATATATTGATATGGTCTATTAAAGAGGTAACTATTAACATCCGAACCCCTCATACCAACAAAAAGAACAGTAACAACGCGAAAAAGTAACATATTTGAAAATAATGTACAGAAATATCTTATATGTGCAGATATTTCATCTACATGTGATATGGATACTATAAATTTGGAAGATTCTGTCAGCAGTGATTCTTCTGAATCAGAGTAGTTACGATCTATGCATTTTGTTGTCCTAAAGTAAATTTATAGTATCTTAAGTTTTTTTTAATTAAATATAGCATTAATGTTTCTTTTTCATTAAAGAAAAAACATTTTTATCTTATATTGGCTTATATTGTAGGAATCATGTTCTAATGTTATTCCAATTCTTTTTTATCACAGGGATTTATTTAATACTTACACCGTTTTCATACTATAAATTATTATTTCCTTAGATGGAACACAGCTCCCACATTTTTATTATTTATACGATTTTTTTTCATAAAGGTGGGACTAAGAACATCATCATTTAGTACAATGAGAGTACTCATCATTTGTGTCAAATAAACCTAGTTTGAATAAATTGTCTACAATAAAAGAGAAGTTTTGCATTTTTGTCCTCTAGAGCCATATGTTCGAAGCACTGTGCATAGGTCCGATTCTGGTTTGTTTCGTAGCTACAGGGTGTTAAAATCTTAATACTTTTTCGATTTATTATAATTTTCTTCCAAGTACTTTTAGCGTTTCGAATGAAATTTTGAGAGTAAAAGTTGCTATAAATGCGACATTTTAAATCTGAAAAAGTGTCGACATATTCACCAGGGACGTGCATATGGGTCATCACTGGAATATTTTCTAAAAAAAGCATGTACGCTACTGACTTTTTTTCTCTTGTTAGCGAAAGAGTGTAAGCAGTATAATGTCGATTAAAAGTTGTCTCTTGATATTTTGTCAATTTCGGTCTCCTTGATGAGATAAACGCAATTTTAATAATTTGTCTTGCTCCAAGTCAAGCAACCTCCTTGCCTAGCAACCTTTAAAAAAGTTTTAATATCGTATCTTACGAACGTTTTTAATAAATACTCATCAAAAAATATGAAAAAAAGTTCCTGTAAACATGGGTATGGAAATGCATAGTTTTAGAGTTACAGGATGTTAAAACTTAAAATTAGATTTTTAGTAATTTTCTTAAATACTATTATTTTTTATTTGAAATTGCTGTAGATTGGACTAATAGTAATAATAACTAGTAGTAATAAGATTTAATAATAAATTAGATAAAATTATAATTTATTTTATATAAATAGAATAATAAAATTGTGTTTATCTCATCAAGTAGGCCGAATTTGAGAAAATATCAAGAGATAGCTTTTAATTGGCATTAAACGGCCTACACAATTTTGATATCAAAAGAAAAAAGTCAGTGGACCGCGTGTTTTTTTTTTGAAAATATTCTAGTGATAACCCATATGCACGTCTTTGATGAATTTATCGACACTTTCTTAGCAGTAAAATATGTAGCACTTATAGTAACTTTTACCACAGTTTAAAGAATATAGTATACTTTTTAAATTGTGCTTTTACCCTCAAAATTTTATTCGAATCACTAAAAGTATTTGGAAGAAAATTATGTTAATTCGAAAGATTATTAAGACTTAACACCCTGTAGCTACAAAACAAAGCAAAATCGGACCTATGTTGATATGAAAAATAAATCTTATTTTTAATAACGTTTTTTTAAAACACCCTAAATAACTTATTTCATTAAGTTTTAGTTGATTTATTTAAAAAAAAATAAGGATTAAAAATTGAGAAAAGTGGTCAAAAATATTTGTTAAATTGCTTAGTTATAATCTATATTTAAAGTGAAATGCTATTAATCCTCGGTATTATTGGTTTTTGATTTAACCATATGTTTCATATTTTTAACCCTTTATAACCCTTTATTTTAATACATTAATATTTTTATTCTACGTAAGTCAATTATATTTAAGGCAAGGAATATGATAGATGACATAATATTTTAGAGATACTATTATACGATATAAGCACAGTGGTATAAGTAAGTACTCCCGAAATAAGTTATACTTACAAGTGTAAGTATTTTTAAGATGATTAAACCAACAAAGGCTTTCGACCAATAATCATCGTCCCCATCCAATGACATACTATGTTCATTATACTAAAATATTTTACAGCTTTAAGTAGATTTAGAAAATAAATATAAAACAAAGAAAAGTATTTATAATGTTATAAAAAAGTAAGTGACATAAAAGCAAAGAACTAAAAGTATGTTAAAAAGATAAAAGAAAAAGAAGAAGAGAAAATCAGTGTAATTAGCATTGTTTTTTACTAAAATACTTTATATCTTTGATTATAGGTAAATAATAAATACTAATTATATATAAAAAATAATACTTAAAATTAATAAAATAAAATCAACGAAGAGAGAAGAGAAAAAAGAAGAAAAGAAATAAAAGACTAACAAAAAAACAAAAAAAAATAATAACCAGTATTGATTGATTGTATTAAAATATTTTTTTTAAACTATCCAAAGTTTAAGTAGCTAAAAACCAGATTACAGATAAAATGTGTAGATAATATAATTATTGTAATTTATCTATTTTAAATAAAACATAACAACAGTTTTATTATTATAGAAAGAAGAGGAAAATTAGAAATAATTATTAATATGATTGTTTGATTGAACAAAAAGATGAGAAAGCAGGAGAATAAGAGAAACAAAACAATAATAATTAACATTAATTTTCTCAAAATTTGGTGATTAACTTTGAACTGTTGAAACCACTGTCGCCAAGATCACGTCACTATTACCGAATTCTTCTTCTAGATCATTACAGAATACTCACTAAATATTTCATTTTGGTGAAAAATAGCCGAATAGTTTCCAGCTGCACTACCTATCACCAACTACTGCCCCCTATGACATTGTTTTTAGTTTTTATACCGGGACACAGCCTTGGTAAAAGTGACCATGGGATCAACACTCCCTGTGAGACACGACCAGCGCGTCGTCGATGTTGCACTTCTTGTCCGTTCTTAAAAGTAAATAGTGCGGGAATAAAAGTTGAAAGACGGAAAACGAACCCACCTATCTAAACCTGATGCGATATATGGTTCCGTATCTTGAGTTACCATTTGCCAAAAGATTCAAAGAAAAAAATACTAGAATTTACCAAAAAATTAAAGTACGAAAAAAACATTTTTCGGATTTAATTTATACAGGGCGACACAACGTTCCGAAATTGGGGATCATACAAGTTTTAGGAAATTTCGGACAAGTGAGCTCTGAAATCTGAAAAAAAACAGACTTAGTCGAAAAATAAGTTATGAATATCTTTACACAATATCGAAAAAAAAAAACGGCGTCAGCGATGGCTATTAAATGAAAAACGCCGTCACTTTTTATGTAAAATTATACGTCATTTCACAGCCAGGCATGCCCATACATACTTTATAGGGGAAATTAAAGTTAGTTTAAAAACTGATAAGTATACTTGTTTTCTTTTGTACAGGGTGTCTCATTTTGGTTGAAATCATAGGGTATCTTCGTTAGTACTAAAGCTAGGAGGATGCGGTTTCTTTTTTGTCAAACGGAAGATGCTGTAAATAAAATTTTCATAGCCCTCTTCATTTCTGAACTACAAAGTCTTTTCAAAAATCCCTAAATACAGAAGTCAAAAACGGACAAATCCGGTGATCAGGGAGGCCATCGTGTGGGTCCATTAGTCGTTTAAAAACATTATATTTTCTTGCTGACAGAATATCTCACGTAAATTGGCTAAAGGAATATCATCTAAAAGTTCCGGTACAATAGCTTCCAAGATTTAAAAATAGCCATAGGATGTTAAGTTTCCCTAATATAAACTCACCGGCAAAAAAACCGGCCACTAAAAACTAGTCCCAATTTCAAAGTTGGATTTCTCGCGAACCACTCATTAGATTTTGATGATTTTTTTTTAAATTGTAAATTAATTCCTTCTTAACGGATGCGACGTCAGAAATTTTTATTCCGAATTTATTTTGAGCATATACAGGGCACAAAAATAAGACGAAGTTATTTGCCCGAACTTTGTAATACTCTGTAGGGTATAGCAGCTGTAGTAGCTATTGTTAAATCAAATCTCATTATAGCCTCATCTTTTATGAGCATTTTGTTTTTTTAATCACGACATTATCCCTCTTTTTATTGGAGATACGCTGCTTTAAAACGAACGTCTCGGAAAAATGCTTCGCAGGCAGAAATATTTATGTGTAAATAATCAAGGCGACATTGGCGAAAACGGATTTATGAGTATTTGCAATATGACAACAACGGTTGTCAAATTAAAAAATGCCATTATCTGTGACGAATGTTGCTATTGTGGCTTTAATAGAGGACGGCCAAAGTCAACGTTATGTGTCCGATACCCTAGGCATTCCTCGAACAAGAGTCCAGGATGCCTGGAATGGGTATATTGAAACGGAAAATTTCACCAGCCGAGTGGGTTCCGGAAGAAAGCGGAAGACAAATGCAATTGACGACCGCTTTATTATCCTGAATACTTTACGAAATCGTAGAATTACAGCGTTTCAGAATCAACATCTGCTGCAAGCCGTGCGTAGAACTCAAGTCAGTGAGAGAACAATCCAAAAAAGACTAAAAGAAAACAGCTTGTCTGCAAGGAGGCCTGCCACAGGACCCCGGCTACTTCCAAGACATCGTCGAGCATGTCTTCAGTTTGCGCGTTTACATGTGAACTGGTTTGGTCGCGGTTTTGCCTGGAAAGTATTTTTCCGAGACGTTCGTTTTAAAGCAGCGTATCTCCAATATAAACAGAGTTAATGTCGTGATTAAAAAAACAAAAATGCTCACTAAAGATGAGGCTACAATTTAGCAATAGCTAGTACAGCTACTGCACCCTACAGGGTGTCACAAAGTTAGAGCAAAAAACTTCGTCTTATTGTTGTGAAATATAAATGCGGAATATAAATTTCTGACGTAGCATCGGTTAAGAAGGAATTAATTTACAATTTAAAAAAAAATCATCAAAATCTAATGAGTGGTTCGCGAGAAATCCAACTCTGAAATTGGGACTTGTTTTTAGTGGCCGGTTTTTTTTGCCGGTGAGTGTATAAAGAATTTATTAGTAGCTACCAAAATAAAACAAGAGCCAGATAGCAGTATACTTTTAATAATTCTTTTGTTTCTTTTATTATCAATTACGGCCTACTAATAAAAATGATCTTTTAATGAAACTATGTCATTACTCGCTCACAAGTATTTGACACGCATCAGAAGATGGTTACGCAAGGCGTTTTCTTTCATGAGCTTTTCTGTGACTGAAAAGCCCGATACGTGATGTTATTCGTTTTCCGCACTCCGAACATTCAAAAATCTCATTGCTTTGTTGCCTCTTTACTTTTTGTTTGTCCCTGTTAACCGATTGAACCAAAATAAGACACCCTGTACAACAGAATTTAATTATAATTTTTTGGTAGAAGACAAAACTGAGCTTTTTTTGCATTGTTACCTGTTCAGTTTTAATTTAAAAATAGATGCAGTTTTTCTTAAATTACTTAAAATAAGCTTGTCCAAAATGCGGCTCCTTCGAATTGGGCATGTGTATTCAGCATAAACAGACCTTTAAAAAACCTAATTACGACTTATAATACTATAATCCCTTGTCTAATCTGGCGTGCAAGGCGTTTCCTCTTAGGCCTATCAAAAGTAAGCAAGGTATACCCTGGTCTACGACCGGCTTGCGTATATCTGCAAAGAACATGCGCTCATTATCTCACCTTAAAAAATTCACAGACAGCGTTTTCTTTCATAATTACGTAAAACTTTATAGAAGGGTTTATCGTAAGACTATAAAAGCTGCCAAGGACATTTATTATAATGGGAGGCTAGCCAAATCCGGTAATGTTGCTAAAGAGACTTGGGCTATTGTAAATGACTTAAGGAATAAGACTTCTTTGTCTGGCACAGTCTTTAATTCACCTGAAGATTTAAACACTTACTTTGTTAATGTGGCTAAAAATTTAGTGAACACCATAACTCCTTCTCATGATTCACTTTCATATGAGAAGGAGTTATGGTGGTCACTAAAGCAAATGAGAATTTACACAGTTTCTTCTTCACGCCCGTAGCATTAGATGAGCTCCGTAGTACAATTAAAAGTATTAAAAATAAATTCTCATCTGGGGACTGATTGGCTTACTCTCAAAATTCTCTGAAATTCCGGAATGCACATTAATCTATCTTACTACTTTAATTAATGAGTCATTCCAAAAAGGAGTTTTTCCAAACTGCCTTAAGACAGCAATAATTATTCCTCTGCATAAAGGAGGAGATAAAGATCAAGCTTCGAACTATCGCCCAATTGCTCTCCAGCCCACATTATCTAAGATCATTGAATGATTGGTTAAAAAAAGGCTTCTATCTTTTCTCCTTAAATATAAAGTACTTTCTACCCATCAATTTGGATTTCTAAGTAACAGTTGCACAAATGATGCTATGTTCGACGTTTTTAATAATGTATACTCTAGCCTGAATAACCATCACTCTACAGCTACAATTTTCTGTGATTTCTCTAAGGCTTTCGACTGTGTAAATCATAATATCTTAATTAACAAATTGCAAAACTATGGATTCAGGGGAGTGCCGCTCGAATGGCTTAAGTCGTATCTTGGCAACAGACGGCAGCTTGTGAGGATTGATACGTCTATGTCTTCTTGTAAGCCTATAGAATGTGGTGTCCCTCAGGGTTCAGTACTTGGCCCTATTTTATTTCTGGTGTTTATCAACGACATTGCAAATCTAGACATTAGCGGTAAATCTGCCTCTTTGCGGACGATACTAGTTTCACTTGGAGCGGCCAGATGTTACGGCACTATATGATACTATATCCAGTGACTTACGCACCATTAAATCTTGGGGCGATTCTAATCTCTATGCCTCAACCTTTCAAAAACTAAAGTTTTGTCATATAAAAGTACTATACAACCTTTTGTACTTAATAACACCACTATTGACGTCGTGGACTCTGTGAGATTCTTAGGACTTGTTGTGGACAACTCTTTAAAATGGGACTTGCACATCGAAGCCTTATCAAAGAAACTAAGCTCTGCCTGTTTTGCGCTAAGATCAGTGTCTAAGGAACTTAACTCATCAACCTCTAGAATGGTCTATTATGCCCTTTTTGAGTCGCATCTTCGTTATGCCCTTCCATTCTGGGGTACTTGCTGCGCGACAAAATTTGATCGTATTTTCAAACTTCAAAAGAGAGCAGTTCGATACTTATTGGGACTAAACAGTAGAACTCACTGCCAGAATTTCTTTAAAAATTTCAAAATACTGACTCTTCCTTCCTTATTCATTTTTGAATCCGTTTGCTTAATCCGCAAGCACATATTCTCTATTCCGGAAAGGCCTTCTCACAACTATCCACTTAGGAATGCGGAGCACGATATTTATCTGCCAACCCCGAGCTCAGAACTAGTTAAGGGCTCAATACTGTACAATGCCAAGAAAATGTACAATCATTTGCCTTCGAATATCAAGTCACTTTCATTCTTTCCCGCATTTCGCAAAGCTCTGAAATCATACTTACTGGAGAGAGCCCTATATGCGGTAAACGACTTTTTTGTTGATGTTTAATCATGAACAATTTAGAATTTTAATTTTAATATTTTGATCATCTCACACACTGGTTAAAGGTCTAGTATTTAATATTTTATAACTCTTGATTTTATGTTATTATAACATGATTTTATCCATTTACAGTTTTCCTTTTGTAAAATTTTCTAGATACGCCTGTGTTCTGCAATTCTGTCCATATGTGTTTTATTTGTAATTTTATGACGTAATTTTTTTTTTTTGAATTGATTTGTATTGTATGACATTTTTGGTATTATTTGTATATTTGTTTTTGTGCTTTTTTTGTTTTGCTCTGTCGAATGAAGCTGTTTTGGCTTTTTGTACAATAAAGCGTTGTTTTTTTTTTTAGCTATAAAATTAATAGGGTAGCCAATATTTGAACAAAATTTTCACGGTATATATTTATATATTTATGGAATGGAATTCTGACGCCATTTTTTTTCGGTTGTACGATATTTAAAAGAGATTAATACAATCATTAGTTTTTTCACAAAATTTACATAAAATATAGACTATCTATGTAATCTCAGAAAATATGTGAAGGCCGCTCCACTTATTTTTTCCAAATTATTTAAATCTAAATTAAAATATGCAAAA